TAATTAGTACAGAATTTGCCTGACCACAAATATCATGCTCATTTATACTCAAAAGAATGTCCTTACTTTTTGTGTACTGGCAGAAAACACTAGATAGTCATGAAAGTAAGGAAGTCAGACTTAAAGAACCTCTTCTGGGATGAATTGTGAATTCATCTTGATGGATTTCAAAGCTACCTTTGTGTTCCTGAGGGAGGGATGACACTGAACCAGGATTCACCCTCCCTCAGGCCCATTCAGCACAACATGATGTGTTTATCTTTGCCAGGAACCATGAGCTTGGCAAAGATCTTATTCATCCCTGTGTCCTAGCAGTTGTAATGGCTGTGACTCCAAAGAGGGATACTGAACTGGAGTAATGCAGTGATAGTTCAGGTCTCTTTTGGCTAGATAGAAGGGCACTGATAGTGATGAGCAGGAAAAGTCCCTACACACAGACCAAGGGAAGAAGAAAGACCAGAAATAAGCCAGTGTAGTTATTCCCAGATATTAACTGTGGCTTAATTCACTCAATTCCAGTGGCTGTGCTTGCCATGGATATTAAGTAGAAAATTAAGTACCTGAAACGAGAGTTTGATCTTTTCAGAGGAACTTTCCAGCTCTCACCAAATACATTCACGTTCTTCACCCAAACACCATCTGGAGTTGTGAAGTCATTTCTATATTTCCCATCAAAGTCACCACACAAGCCTTCCACTCTGTTTCTGTAGGTGTTGGCCAGCTTTATATCTAGGGAAGTTCAGAAGAAAGAAAAGCCATTACACAGAAATCTTTGCTTCTGAATGTATGGACTGTGTGGAAAGCAGTGCCAAGTACCACATTTCATGATTCAGATCAGAGTTGGTAATGTGACATGGGCCTCATACATAGGATATGAACACAGCCCTGAACATACATGTTCATACGTGTATTCACAGGACTGTTTCTGTGCTTTGCAACATGGATCATGAACAAAGTAGTTTCTTGCAGCCAATAAGGTATTATATAACATGACATCGCTGCCTGAGTGCTCTTAGTGCATGCTGCTTACCGCTTTGCAACAAACTGAATGCACCACCCACTTTTTGCCCTTCACTTGCAATCCACTTGCTCGTTGAGAAACAGAATACCTATAAAACAGACCTTTTCTTTCTGCAGTTGGAATTTTAGGGTTTGGAATGATGGTCGTGTATAAATGGCCTGGCACTTTCACCATACACTCAGAAATAACATGGCTATATTCTTTTGTAAATCAGGAGTAACTCTGCTTTGAACAGAGGAGGTAATGTGTGTTCAACTTACACGAGTGAGTTGTGTATATGTGGTGTAAGAGTCCTGCTGAGAAACACTAAAGAATGGGATTATCTGGAATAGGCTTGAGAGGAAGCATGTAAAAGGATGCACTCGCAGCTGTATGGCTTGAGGACCTCACTTCTCTGACTGGGTTAAGCTTGCAAAGAGGCAGATCCAGACTTCACCCCATCATACTGATCAGCAATTTTAAGTGATTTGCTTTCATTTTTATCACTCAGGCCTTACTTAACATGAAAAAAAGTAGAACAGTCTGACTCTACATCTCATTTCTCCTAAGTTCAGGTGGATCCAGATAAAGAAATGCCAGTTTAATGGTTTTTCTGGTTCCTGGGAAACACTTTTTGTTTTAATTTTCTGGAAGTTCATATCACAAAGGGCCATAGGCTTGAAGGGTGAAGGTTTCTAATTTTGCCTTGGGTTTAGACCTCTTTTGGGATGAGAACATTTTTTGAGACAGTGCATAAATATTCCTGCACATTGTCTTAGTATTACTTACCTGCATTTTGATAGCTGTCGAAGCTCAAGTGTAAGCCAAAATCTGTCTCCAGGCAAATTCTTCTTGTCGTCTGATATATATGAATACCTTCATGAGGACGAGCAGGGGGTCTCACCCTCACACCATCCAACTAACAGGGAAAGAATAAGTTAAAATTCATAATATATAGGCCAAATTAAAATCTGGCTTCAGTACAGATCAATGCTACAAATGAACACTCCTCTTCTCTGGTTTTATGATAAATATATCAGATAATTTAAATAGGTAAAACCCTCAGTATTCAATTTTTTAAAGTTAACAAAATCATGTATTGAGGAAAGTGATCTGGACACAGTATTTTCATATCCTAAGAGATTTCTACTATTGAGCTAAAAATTTATATATGAGCTATGTATATTCTTACGCACCAATAAAGGGGAAGGAAATGAAGTTTTCCTGCCATATTCACACTTTTCTTTTCCCTACCACTGATAAAAATTCATTTGTATGGTTTTATTGTAAGTCTTGGGATATTTGGTGTTTTATCCCTAAATCTCTATTTATTAATTTATTTGTCTGAAGTAGAATTACATCCTTCATAGCTATAGAGAAAAAAAACACAACTGAAAAATGACATTTGTGATTGCCCCACAGCACTGCTGTAATAACAGTTAGCTTTAATACTTAAATTCTTCAAAACAGACATTTATGACTCAAAGGTGTTTTACTTCAAGGGAGGGTCTTTCTCGGTGCTCTGCGGTCAGCGAGAGACTTACCACAAGCTGCTTGTTCTGCCTGAATCGCACTGTGTGATTGTAAACATTGATGAGAATCTCTTTCAGGTAGGTAATGCGTCGACTTCGACGTAAAGGATAGTTCATGCCTTCAATGCTGAACTGCGTCAGAGTATCAGGTAGGTCAGGGATGGTCTGCGCCAGAATATATGTGTATTTCCCTTGAAAGTGGTGCACTAGACCGTCAAAGGTCACGTAGTGTGGGTCGCCCATGATCCGGCATTTCCCAAAACCTAAAGGGGAAGAGCTTCATTACTTCCAGTCTGAATGTGCATGTGCCAGATCCCATGCATGGATCAGTTTAAAATAAGTTAGATAAAAATGATTGCTGATAGCATGCAGGTCTCTTAAAGTAAAGATGGGTGCTCAGGCATCACCCTAGTGAATGGGCACTCAAATGGAGAGATGGCCAGAGAAACTCATTCCTCTGCTGAGAGCCAGTGTGAGCCAACTGAACGGAAGCAGAACATGACAGTTTATAGGCTTTATAGAGACTAAGTTGTGCACAGTGGTCCTCTGCAGAGGAATGACTGCCACACAGCATAGCTTGCAGTGGGCTCTTGGAGATGTCGGTTTCATAATCCTCAGCAATGTGTTGCTACAAAATTACTGGAACATGAAAAGCAATGTCTAATTTTGGCTGGCTCACTGCTGTCACATGGATTTCTTCTAAGGTTACTAAATTGATCATTGCGTTCACCAGACCTAACAATCAGATGCAGCGACTATCATCTAAGTATTCTCCTTGACCATTGAGTGCAGAGCAAACCATTATCCCAGGAGCAAGGCTCTCCTTAAGACTGCTGGGGTGCCTCTGCTGTGGTATTTTGCCAAAATGGAGCAGGGGGAAGCTGGATTTGCATTATGCTCTTGTACTGATCATCAATACAGTAGGATCTATGCCATACTATTCTTCAAAATTGAAGTGTAGAGTCACTAGGCAACAAGCTATCTCCTAAACAATACAATTTACCTAGAGAATATGGGATTAGCTTTGCTTAGCCAAAGCAACTATTGAATGAAAAGCACCCAAGTTCTCTGACTGGCCTATTACATATCTGTTCAGAGCTGCTGTGTCCTGTTTTGCCTTTATTTTTTTCTGTTCTCAAATCAACATGCAATGGAAAAAACAGGATCATTGCCGAAGGATTCACAGACATAATCTGAACTTTGTTTTTGGTAGATGCAATGCAAATATTTTTTTCTTTTTATTTATTTAAACTAGTCAGACTAGTTTAAATAAACTAGTCAGACTGAACTGTCAAATCTCTAGATGTAAGTAAATTTTCAAACTCTTGTTCCACTTCCCTCTACAAATTCTCTGTCTTGTACTGGAACTTTCTATTCTGAGAACTGAGGCCTTTTTGTGTTCAATAATGTGTCGTCGATAGCACTGTCAGAGCTGCCTTCTTTCCCTGTGGAAAAGACTGGAAGTGCCATGGAAGAAAGAATGGACATCCACATCCTTCCTCCTTCTCCAGCCCTCATGGAACACCAAGTGAAGACCTGCCTGCACATACCTGTTGGATTGCACTTGTATTTTCCGTTTTTGATCACGCAGGTTGCTTTAGAATGACAGCTATAGCTCTCACACTTGATGACACCGTTCTTCTGACACTGGCATCTTTTGGTGCAGTGTGGAGTTATCCAGGTCTCCCCAGCCTGGACACAAGTTGTGTTAATAATATGTTATCAAGGTGCTCAGCTTTGCAATGCAATAGAAGTTCAATAGCAAAGGGTGTAGGGGATGGCTAGGTGCAAACTGTCCAGTTGGCGATTCCACAACAGCTCAGTGCAGGTGTAGTCTTACCAAGAGCCTGGGTGGGGGGATCCCAGTCCATTTATCTTATTGTCCTCGACATGAGAATTTGAACACAAACCAGGACTAGGACAGACTGTGTGAATAACTGATCAATTGACTATTTTTGAATATGCCTCAATTTTGGCCTCAGGTGCGACATACCAAGCTCCTGCATCTCCTAATACCTGAGCCTGCAGTTTTTACTAATCAGATGAAAGGTATGTAAGAGGTAGACCCTGAAGATTCCTCTCTCTCTCTCATTGGACAGGAGACTAACTTTCTACAAGTTTTACAGCCAGAGATTTGTTCCACAAAATACTTACACTGTAGTAATTGTTGTCATCATCCCTGCAGCCACACTTGCTCAGAGGTACACACTTGCCATTACTGAGCACATAATTATCATCACACTCACAGCCCTCTGTGCACTTTTCTGTCTTCTCACAAAGGGAAGAGGCAAAAATGTCATTGCATGTTGATGGGCAGGTGGAGACACAGTCTGTGTAATGGCTGTGGGGTAGACAGGGCAATGCTGTATGGGTGAAGAGAATAGAACCAGCATTATTAAATACATTTAGAAAGTGCACTGCAAACACATGTGCCTGCCTGAAAGGTACAACTTGGCCTATAAAATGGTACTATAGAATTGCCTTTTAATAGCTGATTTTGATCATCAACCAGTTCTGATTTTTTATATTTTATTTAAAAAAACCAACAAAACCAAAACAGAGAACCCTCTCTGGAGCTGCTGATTCTGTTCTATTACAGGTATGCCTGAACTGATGGCACCTGGTGCTAGATCATTCAGATTCAGTATTCCAGTTCAGCTGCAAATGCCTCTTTGGGCACTGCTAGAAATGAGAATCTTTAGGGCAAATTCCTTAGAATGCTCAGCCCTCCAGTGATGCAAAACAGGTGTATATCTAGCTTAACCACAGACATAAGCACATGCAAGAACAACAGATATGCATTGTCAGACTGAAGATTCATCTAGCTCTATACCCTATTTCTGCCAGTGACTAGAAATGCATAACAGGATAGTTCAAGAAACAGGGTAGCAGGACAAAGGGTTCGTTTGTCCAGTATTTTCCTCCAATCGTGGCAAGGAGGCGACTAAGAATTTCTGAAGGACCTATTCAACATTCATCTGGCTTGTTTTTTAACCGGTTAATTGTTTTGTCCTCCACAACATTATGTGATAATTAATTCCACAATGTAATACTAAATTGTGAAAAAACAACAAAAAGAAACCCACTGTGTAATCTTCACTCATTTTTACATGATTTGTTTGTAGCTTTGTTGAATGGGTGGAGTGAGGCACATACACTGGAAATTAATCCAAGAACGTGGCCCTTAATAAGCAACTGGCCAAATTGCCAGTTTTCATTCAAAACACAGTGAGTGGCATTGAGCCCTGTGTCCTAACACAGTATCCCACTTTGCTTTACTCTTCTGGTTATATTATTTCTCCATTTTAAGCTCATTGCAGTATCTCATGGTGCTCATTTGGCTCCTAAAGCCATTCTAACTCCACATTACTATCCATAACTTGTCTAGTCCTGGGTTTAGCTCAACCTGAACACAGTTCAGTGCAACAATGGAGTCATAAAATCATCATAATAGAATTGCATTTTGTGAGAATTTGGGTTTAATTTTCTTTTACATAACTTGTTCGCCTAATACTGCTAATTTGTTCTCATGCTATCAACCATCCAAGTTTCAGTTTTTTCACTTGCTTGTGCACTTACGACAGAATGTGCTGTTCCTCCATTTAATGGTGATTCCATGATTCTTGCAGTTGTCCACATAGACTTGAACTATGTCGCAGAGAGTGGACTTCATGCCATCATACTGGCACATGTCATAGATGCAGATCTGTACGAAGTCTTCAGGCTTGACTAGATTATGACATGCTTTGAATTTGTCTGATTTGAGCACATTGCACTGGCTTTCAATGACTGGTTTATTCTCAGCAGTGCAAGGAGGAACATCATCTTCTCTTAAGTCTGATAAACAACTGCATAAAAGCACAGACACAGCTGCATTTAAGTTTCAAAGGCATATATAAGATGGAGACTGAAACTGAAAAGTTTGTTTCTATCGAAAGGTATTAAACGAATAATGCTAGAGACTACAGTCTTCTTTCTGTCTATGAGTGAAAGATTAGGCAGAAGTAGACCTGCCTGGCAATCACCATGCTGTGTCTGACTCTTGTTACTCACACTGAACTTGACCCTGACTAGAGGATTGGCTTCTCAGCTTGACCTTGGACTTGTCTCATCACTGCAATCTTGTGTGGTAATCTGGACTCTTGGCTGACCCTGGCTTCCACCCTTGGACCTGCCCTGCTTGCCTTGCTCGGACAGTGTGGGATGGGCCCTGGCTGGTGAGGCCACTGTTCTCTCTGCTGTGTTATCACACTAGGCTCCTGGTGCCTTAGGGAGCAGCTGGCCCTCACTGTTCCCCAACACCATCATCCTGCTCTAGGTGTTTTCACTGTAAAATAAACAGAGGCTATATCCACAATGTGGACAGTCCCAAAGCCTAATCCCCCAGTGTGTATGTAGATCAATATAATGGCTGTGGTTTCCCTCTGGCCTGTGCGGTGGTTTCCTGTGGTGATGGCTTTTTTCTGAGCTTCAAATTCAAGAAGAGAAAAGTCTCGTATACACTACAAAGTAGGAAACAGTCAGAACAATTGAAAGGAGACTGTTTCCTGGAGGAAGATGGAAAGTATGAAAAAAAGTTACATTTACCCTTCATCACTGTCTTCCTCCACTTTCCAGCTATTTCCAAACTGTGTGACACTGGCAAGTGTACCATTGGGCAAGGACAGATCATCTTCACGATTATCATTGAAGTTACCACACATGCCATGTACCTGCAAATGAACAAGAAGCATATTCTAAGCACAATCTGTTCTACATCAGCTTCCCCAATAACTTCTTATTCATTGCCTATGAAATGTTGGTGGTGATTTGGTCACATCAACCAATCTTGTACCAGACATTTCAGACATAGTCACTAGTGTCTGACCACACCCATGGAGAAATAAAATAGAAATTGCAGTAAATCTGTGGTTCCCTAAGGCTTAAAGGCGTTTAATTCTATAATCTGGATGTATTCTCCTAGCCAGGTCATTTTCTTTAACTACCCCCTTGGAACACGAGGAAATTGTTGTGAAGAGAAAAAAAAAGAAAGGAAAAAAATGACGTGTTACAATACAGCTACAAAGAAAGATGCAATAGCAAAACACAGGAATAAAAGAAATTAAAAGTAAATGCACAAAGCAGCGGTTTTGAAACAGTGCCAGATGTTTACATACTAAATCTTACCTTTGAGAAATAAGACTGCGGGAGGGTGATTTCCAGATGGTGATTGCCATCATATTTCACTATCACACCAAAGTCAGTTTCCACTACTATAAATCTGCCAGCGTTTCTAATGGACACGCCTTGCAACCGGTTCTCCACTGGAGTGTAGGCTCTCTCATTGTTCAACTGGAGAGACATGCCATTTGTCAGTATGGACATTCTTCCATGAAAGCTTTTCTGCTCAAATCTATATTCCTTGCAGTGCTGAAGATTTCTCTATGACAGTTTTAGCTCCTTTACCCTTCCACCATTGCATATTCCAACTATGGGTTGCAGGAATCAGCCTTTTAGCTGAGGAGAGCTGGGCAGGACTCATAGCCTGTGCCTTTAACAGGGAGCTGGAAAGATCCCTGGTAGTGAGCAAGCTCTTACCCACCCAATGGGGTGGATTTCCTGCCTCCAGTACTGCCATGGATCCCTGTGCTATTCTAGACCAATACAGTATGACTTGTTTTTCCTCTGCTCTTGTTAGCTAGCTATAGGTGATTGGGTTGACAACAACTGTTGAAGTGGGGAGCCCCATTCTTTAGTTCAGGCAACAATTCTCCAGTCTGGAGGCTATGGGCTCCATCTCCAAGATAGGGCCAATAGAACGGTAAACCCAAACCAGAAGCCTTGGGAAGTAGTGAGAAGTTATATTTCCCCATGATATCCAGTTAAGGGAGGTGCCCACAAGTATTAAGTGTATGCGTGCATATTCCTTAGGAAGCATGAAGATCCTTTTTCCTACAGCTGCTGTAGTGAGCTAATTTTAAGATACTTCTTGCCAGAATAAAGAGCAGCACCACCTACCAAGATTCCTTGGCTTTTCTGAAGGGTGATTCGTACACCATACACATCTATGTAGACCTCTTTCAGGTATGTGGCCCCTCTTAGTCCTCTGTCTTCATTCTTGCCAAGGATGGTTATAGGAATGATACTGCTGGTGTTGACAACCTCAACCAAGGTGTAGGTGCAGGTACCCACAAAAGTGTACAACATTCCATCAAAAGTGAAGTAATGGGGATCTCCTACCACTTGACATGTTGCTTTGCCTGAAGGTGAAAAAATGATCTAAGAACTTTGGCCTGGATTTCACCATGGACTCAGCTGACCAAAGATGTTTGCATTAGTGCAGCAACCTAATACTGATCATTATTATGCAGGCAGACCTTCACAGAGGTATCTCAGGTGCATGCCAATGACATTTATTCTGAAATAAATTTCCAGAAAGTGCCTCCTAAATTTAATTCACAAATTATGTACAAACTGGCAACTTGGCAGCAAATGAACCTCTTCAGATATTTCTAGATGCTATTGTAGCTATGATTTATGGTAGTTGACAGTAATACAGAGCTTTTCTACTTAGCTATATAAAAATACATAATTATATGTATAAATATAGGTGTAAATATAAAAGTAAATAAATTTGCATCTATATACATAGATACTTAATGCACTTGCCATCACCTAGACTCTCAGAAATGCAGTTCTCAATTAAATTTAGAGCTTGCAGCACTGGTGATGTGGGACTTGATTTTGTATTATCAAGACAAAAAGAACACAAGTGACTTTGCAAGCTTTTGGGAAGCATCAGTTTTTGCTGATACCCACTACAACAGAAGGGCATCTGTACTTGCAAGAAAGATCATCATGTCTTTTCATCTCTTAGTGCTGGCAGCAGTCAGTTGGGACTTCTTTGCCATCACATATGAAACGATATTTATAATAAAGCTAGAAGGAGAAGAAGGATCTAATTATGGAATTGACATTGAGAACCATTTTCAGGCAGGACTTACCATTGGAATGACAGCCCAGCACACCATCCTGAATACTGCATTCCTCTCGGACTCCACACTCCCAGGATGTGCATGTAATGGTGTTATTAGCCTTGCAGCTGCAGCGTTCGGTGCAGGGATAACTGGTGAACCAGCTTTCATCCAGCTGAGCGGAAAAAAGAGTGTAGAAGTATATACTATAAGATAAATTGGAAAGTAATACCATAAGGGACAATCAAATTATTAGTATTTGAATGTGCATGATATATGATCATTTGGGCAATTGTAGCCACACAGCTCATGGATCAAGAAGGCTGGCAAAGTGAGACTATTTTGTTATTATTAATGGTGTAAATAATAATTGTGTTAGTGTTATTAACATTTTTTTCTCTCATGGTGATAAAGAATCAGATCACCTGTTCTTTTTTTTTTTTTTTTCTTTAAATGTCTGAGGTAACTTGCCTGGTGATACTGGTTTTTTTCATCAACACAACCACAGCTGCTTTCTGGCACACATTTGTCTCCACTCAAAACATAGCCTTCCTTACAGAAGCAACCTTCCACTGGTAAGGAACTGCAGGAATCAACTGCTGACATGTTGAAACAGGTAGAGGGACACCTAGTACCACAGGTCTTGTAGATGCTGCCTCCAGGACAGGACATTGCTAGAGAGAAAAAGAAAAAATAAGATCACTCAAAAAGGCAAAATCATGATAAAAGTTTTCCTGATCATTTCACTGTTTGCTCCTCAACATATACAGAATTGCTGTTGGGAAGTTTGACACTAGAGAGTGCTGCGTACAAAGGATTTTCTTGCCGTGTGAGATGGGTGGCTTTTGGTAGAGGTGGGTGAGACAGGTGGACCACCCTGTGCTTCACCTCACAAAGGAAGTCAAACATTGCAGGCTCGCTTTGAGGGTAGGTCTGATGTGATCATACAGGACTAATTGTGCTTGGTTCAGTAAACATTTTTCTGCAGGTTTAAAGACATAAAGTCACTCCATTAAGGGAATAGAAGACTCGTTTCATGTACCAGCTGATATGGCCCTATTACTGTAGTTACTATTTGAACACCTGCCATATATTTAAAAATACAACTAAAAATCAGACTCTGTCTTTCACTGAGACCTCTTGAGGAAAATATATTATACTGTCACACCCCTCCTGCTCATGGCAGAATTGAGCTTCTATCAATCAAAGCATGCTCCCCAGGGAAGACATTACATTTTACAGAAATCCTGAAGCATTTGTCCATTTCTGTCACCTAAAACACCCCTAAAAACTGTTTCTGGCTAGATTCTGTGATAAATCACTACATACGGCTCTCCTTTACTTCTGTCCCTACAGCAGGATCTCTTAGTCCTGTCAGGCAATTACAGCCAACATCTCCAGTCATCTAGCCAGAGTACCTGCCCTTTGTCAGGTTCTTAACTGAGTTTTTATTTGAATTACTGATGGACAGAGCACTTGAGAGTCAATCCTCTTAATGGGACTGAGTCTTCTCTATCACTATAATCAAGCCATAGATATTTAGGTCCTGGGCTATGGCCTCAGACTATGGAGTCTGGATGTCCATAGCTTTAATCTGATTTGGAGGGTTTCTTGCTGTTTCTTGCTCTGTCTTCTTTTTATATATGAATTCACTGTGGTCTGCCCTCCCAGGGCTGACTTACTGCGTGCTTTAAAGCCATTCTAAAGTCACAGTAATTCTTTCTCCAAACTGAGCAGCTCCTAGAATGTCTCAATGGTTTTTTATGGTTTAGTTTCAATGCAGAGCTAATTGTTGATCACAGAAAAAAAAGAAAAAGAAAAAAAAGTGCAAATCCACAGAAGCTAATACAGTGGTAACTGGTATAATCAAAATTAGTGTAAAAGACAAAAAAAAAATAGAGAAGAATTATGGTTTATTTCAGTGTGGTTGACCTTTAGAGGACTTCTTTTTTTCTCTCCACGTGTGTACTTTGTGGATATAAAGGTCCTTCAGAAGATGTCTGGCAAGCAGAAAACTGCCCAGTGCCACATAAAATCAGCACCAGTGGAACCCCTGGAAAGCTTTATTCTAAGAAATATGAGTTCATTATATGAAATTTCCCATAAGGTCATTCTGAAGAGAATTAATCAGGAGATAAATGAGAATACTTGATTTCTTTGCTTTATAGAGGAATACTTGTAAACTTCCTAGAAACAACTGTTTCTCAAGGTCTCTTATTAAACTAGTTTTTTAACCAAAAGCCATCAATAAGCATTTGTGTATGGAGGACTACCAGCTCTGCTTACACTGAGGATGGTAGATTTTCAGTGGAGCAAAGCAAGTTATTTTTCCAGTGCAGAAGCTCACATAAGATACAGTTGAATGTAATCAAACTTTTGCAAGAAACTGATAGTAAATTATTACAACTTTAAGGATTAGACTTCCATGTATCCAAATGTTCATGAAAATTAGTGTTTTATACAAATACTGGAATGGTATTGAAACTGAAGCAGGCTCAAGACATGACAAAAGATAGACTATACTCAAAACATTACATAAAATGAAATAATATGCATGAAAAAGGTGGAGAATGTGCATCCTTTCGAAGTTTAAATCCAGAATAGATATTTATAAGTCACAACACTCACGGCAAAGTGTAGCATTCCTCCACGCTATGCATATCCCAGCATTGATACATGACTCAGCATAGGCCTGCAGTCCATAGCATAAGGATGTTGCCTGTCCACCAGTGAAACACATGTCGTAAACACAGTTTTCAAAGAAATTTGCTGGAGGCACTTTGGTATGACAATCCTTGAAGATTCCTGTGTAAATCAAGAAAGATATGTAAAGGATAGAAAAAAAATCGGGAATGACAAGATCACCACCACCATCTATTTTCTGTCATGGCAAATGTATTGTGAGCGCTCCAGGCTAACTTTGTTTAGTAAGTTAAACTGACACTTGAAATGGAGCGTGCACAATGAAACTTGGCCCTCTGGATCAGGCTTCCTTCTTTTTGCATGATTGATACAACATAGTTTACATAAATTCAGAGTTGCTGGCTAGGCAAACCACTAGTTCTAAACAACTTCAGGGGCTGTCCAGTGCAGGGAACATGTACACAATTTCAGATAAAGTATCTGTAATACATGCAATGACAATGCCCTCTGAACTATTTCTTTTAGCAAGCAGAGTGCAAGTCACTATAAAGCAAAGAGCAGCTATGGCTCCGCACGCACATTCTCAGATAATCTTCATGGACACATTGGCACTGTCTGAATGGTTGACATGTCTTGACAAAGCACCTATGAGTTTTATGTTGGCCATTCACACTGGAGGTTTTATATGCTTCCAATGTGAGCTCAGAACAATGGACTACAGAGAAGAGACAACACAAGCTGTAAAGTGCTCCATTACACGGCTCACAGAGAACTACCAACATACTACCTGTTGGATCTGTGATCATGCCACATGCTGTATTCTTCTTTGCTTCACTCTCCAGCACAGGATCACATTGCTGTTCTGTCCCACCAGAGCATCTGGGGAAAGCAAGCAAAATCAAATATGTGTTTCATATCCTTTACTATCAGACTTTCGGTGGAAGATTGACACATGACAACCCTGCACAACAGGGTGTATTTTATTACAGTCACAAGACTTTATCCAGCTTCTTTGAAAAGCTGATGTCAGCCCTGTTGCTGAATGGACTCCCTTTTTGATGCCTTCTGGGCTATTCAAAGGCTTATTCTTAGCTGAAAAAAGAGTTATGGGATTCAATCAGTTATGGTTTCCAATCAGGGAACTGGACTGAAGTCCCACCCCCCCTCACACTGAGCAGACAGTTCCTGCTTTGGAAAACAAGACTTAAAGGACACAAGCCCTCTTCTCATTCCCTATTTAATGTAAAGGGGCAGCTCCCTACTTCTAATGGGCAATTGGAAGATGTAAAATGTGTTGGATGACAAAGCCAGTGAGTGGATGGATGTTTGATTTTATAGAGTTTGATTAGCAAATGCCATGTGATTAAATTAATATACATACATGGTGTTATTCTCAGGCACAAGCCAGCTTTGTCCAAGATCAGTGGAACCACTTGCAATGTCACCATTGGGCTTTATGTTGTCATCATTTGGATCACCATTATAATTACCTGTGAGGGTAAAAAGAGATTTATGGGACACATGAAGTTCACACCTGAAGAACAAACCTAGGTTTTAGGCTGTAAAATAAACTACAATGAACTAGGGAGAGTATATGTGCAACGCCAGTGTGTACTGGGCAAAATAAGAAGAGCTCAGTGGTGTTTTAGACTTTGACCGCTGACGAGAGCTGCCGTTCAGAGACTTGTGGACTTGAAGCAAGAACTCTGTAAGTTCTTATGTAACTAGATCACATTGCATACAAGAAAGAATTGCTTAGCTAAAAAAACCCAACTCATTTCCTTGGATCCTACCTGTAGAATGTTGGAGTAAAAATCAAATGGTGTTATTTGCACCATTATGTTCTTAGGTAGATTTCCTGAGTAGAAAGTGCGAAAAACCCATGGAGAAATAATTGAACTAGGAAATTTCAGATGATCCAAATCAAAGAATAAGCAGAAACTCACAAGACAAGCTACTTTTGTAATTTCTACAGTTCCATTTCCATCCTGAAGTACATTTCATATCATCACCTGGATTTCAGAATGTTGTTCCAACTAAACCTGCTCAGGTTCAGGCATTAGCAACATTGCTGATGAAAAATTACTGGCCACTACTAATTCCAGCGAGCTCCTACTCTCATTAGCTACATAAGCCACCTGTGACTCTTCTTTACTTTGCTATCCTATTGCAACAGAATTTCTTACAGAACACAGTAGAATGTGCCCTTTGTGTCTGATCTTTCTCAAGGACTATATAAGGCCTCTATGTTTTGTATCATATATAGCACTTAATATTTTGTGGTATTTGAATTTTGGAGATAAAGTATGAATTTTCTTTCTTATTCATCAAGTCTGTCAGCTCAGGATTATCCATATTGAATCCTTGTCATTGCTTTGTTTTAATGTAGACACTGCCTATCTTAGCTGGAATAAAAAGTAGGTAAAAATAAGCCTTAGTAGTCTAATTTTTCTTTTCTTTCTTTTTCTTTTCTTTCTTTTTTTTCCCCCTTTGATCATATAAACATGATCATTCAGGTTGTATAAATACCGCCTAAAACAGCACAGGAAAACACCAGCAGGAAAGCTTGAGGATGTTGACAGTAAGCTATTCTGAAGATTGCTCTCTGCTGTGGAAATAGCCTCAAGTTTTTATGAATCAAAAAATGAAATGGTATAGCATTCCTCACACCCAACAAAAGACAAATACACCAGAATGTAAATAACAGAAAAATGTATTTGTAGAATTCTTGAGTAGATGCATGCAAATCATTACTCTTCCTAAATTTAAACTGTAGAACTGAAGTGAGGTTTTTTATTTGGCTAAAAAACTTATTTGTAGTTATGCCTCACAACGTTCCAAATGGATAGCATGTTACCAGGAATTTTGTAAGTAACAGTTCTTAGAAACTGAAAAAATCTAGCAAGTTTTCTTCACTGCTGTAAATTCTAGTCCATTTGACAAGGACTAGTTGTGTGTAGAAAAAGTATAACATGCTAAGAAAAAAAGTTTAAGTAATCACCAGCCTCCACAACTCACTAAAAAGTGAATAAGCCTATGACTTACCACAGAGGCCACAGAGCAGACCACGGTAATTAGAGGGCACAGAGACTTCTGCATAGTGATTTCCATCATATCTCACCCACAGTCCAAAGTCGGTTACCAAGAGAACATATCCACCACTGCTTTGAATACTGATCTTCTTTTCAATAAATACAGGCAGGTTCATTCTGCTGCCATTCACCTGTACAGCAAGTCGTAAAAGTTAGTGTATGGCTGCTGGGACTCCTACGACTACCAGCAGCTAGAATAGATTAATGAAAGATATGATCTTGTGCACAAGCGAACTGGAAGTAATTAAAGAACACTTCAACTGGGCAAATTTGTTGGACATCTCATTAAAAGAGGTACATTTAACTAATAAAAAGAGAAAGTTTGCTATAAACTCTACAGAGAAAATATTTCATTATCTACACGTCAGTTTAAAAATATTACATGTCTTTTAAACAAGTATTTTCTTACATTCACTTTCTTCTTTTTCAGCAAAGAAATCTGGTTGCCATAGACTTCCACTTGCACTGACTTCACATACGAGACTTTGGTGTTGGCTCCTCTGTGCTCATTTGTTGTGGACACATCAAAGTATGGAAGCGTCTCAGAGACATTGCACACTTTGGAGAGGGTGTAAGTGCAATTTCCCATGAAATTGTGAACTCTGTGGTCAAAAGTGTTATAATGTGGATCCCCAGAGGCACTGCAGGAAGCACGGCCTGGGAAGAAAGACAGACAGAATAATTCCCTCCAAATCTCTACCAGACTTCTGCAGTTGCTTTGTTCCCGCTTTGTTTTACTTTGTAATTGCTGCTCAGATGTAACAGTGATGGCATCAGTCAAGAACATTCCAAAGTCCAACCCAACCTCCTGTCTTTGGACCCATAAAGAATCTGTACTCTTGTGTATCAGAAATCTGTGCTAGAGGTTGAGGAAGAAATATAAGCAAAAAGCTTTGATATTAAAAAAAGCTCTGTTATTAAGACATCATTATATAAAGTGGAGCAGTGAGTTTTTAGTGTCCATGTCTGAAAGGCTATTTCTGACTAAATAGGAAGAATTTACTCAAAAACTTTACAGGGTTGGTTAGCCAGAATAGACCATTGCACTACCAGCTGTCTGGGGTTCTGTACTCACATCAGTTATGGAACTCCTATGGAACACTGCATACACAAGATGTCCTTTACACACTTTTAAAAAATATCGAAGTTAACTGGCCAGTGATAATATGTACAAATGGAGTTACACAGTGTGTGTGCATTTGTGTGTGTGAGCTGGGTAAGGTTTTGAGTGCTAATAAGAAATTCCCATTTTCAACAAAAAATCTTCCCATCAAATCTTAGCAGAGTTGAGTTTGCAGGTGCTTTATGGTGTTTATTAACAACAACAAAAAATAATGAAAAGAGGTCCTTACCTCTTCTCTGCTTGTCAATGACGTTACAAAAATAGCTACACTTATGGCTGTGTCTACAGATCAAACTTAACTGCTTACACACAAACTACTAAAACTCCAGGAACTACATACATAACAATTATAAAAAAACCTCAGAAGACAACCAAACTGAATAGTGAGCTATCACGCTCTTGTACTTAACAACCTAACACATGTAGAAGACTTAGTGCTTAAAATTGGAGGAAAGAAGCAGTTAAAACAAATCTACACTGACATTTTCATGTATTTCCTAAGTATTAAAATAATAATAACCATGACACAGTCTTTTCCAGGACCATATAATTGGATTATATCCAAAATAAAAACAAAACTGGGAAGCTACATTAAATTTCAAAATACTATAAACAATAACATCTGTATAACAGGTGAAAACTTGCCATAGAAAAGGGTAATTTAAATATTTATGGACATAGCAAGAACGGGTATGTGACATAATTGTCAGGCAGCGGGTCTACTGTTATCAAAAACCCCAACACTGTGGCAAAAGGGATCCAGGGCAGGACTTCCATAGTCACTACTCAGAAAAAGTCCCAGCACTGAAGGACTGTCCCATCAGTGTGATTGGGTGAGCAAGGAAAAGCTCTGACGCCCAAGTATAAAAAATCTGTCACTTGGCTGTGGTGCCTGGATTAAGAAAACTGAACAGTAATGACAGGCAGTAAGAGATGGGGAAGGGAAATGACAGTACCTGAGCTCGGTGTGGGTGTTGGTGGTGACGGCGTGCGTGGAGGCTGTGTTGTAGTGCCTGGCGAGGGGATCGTGGGTTTTGGTGTCGATGGACCTAGCACAAGAGAGAGTTGGAGGAGATGTGCTCCAACACGGGAGATTTGTTGCAGGCAGCTGTCCCCCACTTCCCAAGCACCCCAACACCGTGACCAGCGTGGGCCAGGGAGGGATCGCAGAATGTCGTCTCAGAAAGAGCCCTGCCACTCAAGGGCTCTTCCACCAGCACAGCTGGGTGACAAAAGCAGATTAGGCACTTCAGTACCTATGCTCAATGTCTTGGCTGTGGGCATTGTAATACATGAAGTAAATAGTGAGTGCAGGCAGTGTCAGTGCTCCAGTCTCCCAGTAGAAAGCCTGCTTGGGCACAGTCTGCATCACTGCCCCACAGGGCTCTGCAAAGACAACCTGTTTTCCTGCCTCCAGCACAGCCTGCCACCTCAGTCCGTGACATCTCTCAAGCTGCCCTTCCCCAAGCCAAGCCTTGTACCTTTGCAGGATCCCTTTTCAATGGACAGATCATCCAATGCTACATCACTCCGGACATCTTCACCCCATTCTCCCTCCAGGACAATCTAAGGGAAGGGACGGTTCCCAGCATTAGTTCCGGCCGCACATGTGAAGTGCCATTAGAAAGCATGGCCCATCTCAGATGGCAGCGAGAGCCTGTGCCCTTACCTGCATGTCTCCTGTGCCGTGCAACGTGATCTCTCCCAAGTTCCATTTGTCCCCGTGGTTCCCAGTGCTGCTCCAGACCAGCACTAGGTCTTCGCCCTTGTCCACGTACACCCGTAGGGCCATTGTTTCAGCCACTCCGTACATGTGGTACCAGAAGCGGAAGCAGTGCGGTCCTTGCAAACTGCACACCGGGCTGAGCAGATGAGCCACAAAGCCAGGGAGGGCATTGCTCCCTTGCAAGTAGATGTAGTAGCCGTCTGAAACAAAACATGCACCACACTGTCACATGCATATCAAATATAGACAAAGCAGCCAGGGACAACCCAAACACAGTCCTGGGAGCACCCCTGCTGCACTTCAAGGCAGGTGAAAGGAGGGGAGAGCAAACACGGGCCCTTTGCTAGCCACAACTCTCCCCAGTCCTGAGTCCACCTATGAACCGTGCTCTCTGGGCCATGGCAGCTGTGTGGCTCGGCCTGGGCAATGGCACCACCTCAAAGCATCGCCACAATCCTTGCGTGGCTCTGCAGCTTTAGGGCCCAGTCATCATTGGCTTC